CACTGGCAGGATCTGGAGTGCAAACTGCTTCCCCCGATTGCTGCCCCCCCTAGATCCCTGGCCCTCCCCCCGACCCCCCTCCCCCTTGCAGAGGGGCAGCAGAGGAGCCAGACCCTGGGATTCACTCACCTCCTGAGTGTCGGCGTAGTAGCTGTTCCAGTCGCTGGTTTCATGCCCTTCCATTTTCACAGTCCCTAACATTATGGAGCCAACCTGCCCGGTGTAACCATCCAGCCCTCTTGCAAGCGAGCGACGGGCAGCAGGAAAAGAGCCCGAAAGCTCGACCTAGCAGGAAGCCAGTTCTTAGAAGGGGAAGGGGAAAGGGGGGCTGAATTCTCGTCTAAAACAAGCCAAAAAGGAGGCAGGGAGCGGTGTGGGGCGAGACAGTTGAGAAAGTGAGGAAGTGCCGGCTGGGATGTGAGTGGAGTTGAGCTGATGTGGATCTTACGTCGCAGAAGTACCCACCTCCTCCTCCTCCTCTCCCCATTTGTCCGCCGCACAAAGGCGTTCGCACCTACAAAGCCGGAGATGCACCTGCAAACAAGGCAGTTCCCCTCGCCTGCAACTCCCCCCGGGGCGGCACTTTATTTGCAAAGCAGTGTAATTGGTTTAAGCTTGTGGGGAAAGAAGGAGAGACGGAGGTGGGAGAGGGGGAGAGCGTAGGAAAGGGGGGAGGAACCCACCCTTTCAGACGGTCAGGACAAACGCTAGGAGGGATCGGTGGAAATGAAATGAGGTAGATAAGGGAAGGGCAGCCCCCTCTGTTTGAATAGAACGCAAAAGGCCATCCAGCCTTAAACCCCTGAGATTAGGGGCTGTATTTACTAAAGTCCAGTAGATGCTCCTTTAACTTGATGGCTGGGACGTGCTCCAAAGTCCCGAGTCCTGCAGTCAACATGCCCCCCTCTCCCTCCCCCCCTTCCCCGCTCACTTCAAAGCTAATAACTGTGCCAGGTACCTATCCTGGCCCCAGGCCCCTGCCGCGGCCCCCTCTGCTCCCAGCGTGCTCCAGGCCAGGGACTGGACTTTGTCTATAAGCAGAAAGGCTCGACTCCCAGGTCCACGAAGTCCCACGTGGGCTAAATCTCGTCCTTCAAACTGGGCTATGTGTATGATGATGATGGTAATTCTTTTCTGCTAGCTTACGTTTAGAAACCATTTGAGTCACAGCGCTGAGACATAACATTAGAGCCACCCAATAAATACGGATGGAGGCTTGAATGCGGATCCACTGATATTAACCTCCACTTGGCAAACATCAGGTGAGTCACTGGAAACATTTTATACGTTTACGGTGGAAAGCCTTCGGCCCAGAAGGCTTCTTTGGAGCCAGACACCCAGGAGCAACAGTAGTAAGAAGTAGCGGGTATCTCATTAGTAATTTCTGGCTCATTACTCTGACTTCTCGCAAGGAACAGGGGAGGAGGAATCTACACGGGCTAGAAGGTGAAAAGGCGCAACAGCAATAAAACAAACTAACATGGGACAAAGCACTTCATAATATGGACAGTGGGACTCTCTCAGCTTTTGCAGACGGGCTCTACTTTGTCCTTTTCCTATTCCTGCCCTGTCCGGCTCTTTGACCTGATGTCAAGATCACAGATTCTTCTTGGGTTTCTCTGCGCTATCCTTTATATTTTTTCTCCCCTACCCGGCGGCTCGAACTTTTATGACCTGGTTGTAAAACAAACAAACAAACAAACAAGCAAACAAACAACCCCCCCTCCAAAACAAAAGACCCACCAAACAAAATAGACAAACAAACTACCCCCTCCTCAAACCCAAACAACTTCCCGGGGAATAGGGGTCTAAATGGGAAATAAAGTTTCTTGAGCTTTTTCAAAAACGTTTGCGTCTCATACCACACAAAGTACAATACATAGCTGTGTCTGAATTACTGTTTGACATATTTATCGCCCACTAACATCACAGTTGCTTCCACACTGATTTGTCCTCGAGTGATCTGCGGAAAGGTCACCGTCACAAGCGTGATTTTTAAAACGTTTCTTATTTAGAGACCCAAGATTAAATTGGTGAGATATAGCCTACCGCTGCAGGGAGAAATCTGTTTTAACTTGTCCTCAAAATGCATTTTCTGTTATCTCTTTCTTTGTTCTTTCCCCCCTCATCCTCTTTCTTTAAATCTGGCAACAGTTAAATAAGTTAAATCCTTGAAACAAATACAACTTCGGAATCAGCAGGCGAGAACAAGGGACGAAACTGTGTCGCTGAAGACATAATAAAATAAAATATAAAAGGTAAAAGTAGAGGCTTAGAAATGTACTTTTTCAAATGCTCAAGCTACATAAATGGAGACTGGAACAAAACCCAGTGGAAAATGTAAGAGACGCTAAAATTGCGATCTTGGTGTATGCGCTCTCCCTCCCTTTCTGCTGGAAACAGTCTGTATGTCTGAAGTAGAAAAATCGTGAGGGCCCGTTCGGGAGCAACTCGTTCACGTCAGTACTTCAGCTCTGCTCAGAAAA